CCCCAAAACCCCAAAACCCCAAAACCCCTAGTTTCAGGAATTTCAAATATTAATGAGATTCAAAAATTGATATGAATTGAATTTAATATGATTGCAGACATGTTTTGTTTGAATATATTATGCTCAGAGTTTTGCAGCTAAAAAGGGTCTGATGTATTCGTCAAATCCATCTAAGGTATCTTTTTCATTTAGTCTGCTTGATTTAGCCCATTCGAGAAGTCTCTCATAGACATTTCCATCGTAGTTTCCAATTGCACTAACCATTGTATTGTCATCATACTCAAATGCCTCGATCAAGTTAAGCATCTAAGGTCTAATATTAGTGTATTCTTGCAATAATTGTTGATGGATTTGTCTGAATTACTAAGGGGAGAGATACTTTGAAATAGCAAGAGGAGCTCCAATCTTTGTCAAATGATTAAGAGCAAATATTCTGAACAATGTTCTCAAGTGCTTCACAAGGTTCGAGCAATTTCCTTATTTTTCGAAATGATTAATTCCTTCAAAGAAAAATTGTGCAGTCATGTAGTAAGAATGAGCTTGAGACATTTTAATCAGATCAATTTAAAATTTTTCATTAAACTTCTCCCAAAGTGAAAAATCTTTGTACTTAGGATCAGCAAATAACTAAAGACTTTAGCCAATTCTAAGTAGAGCATTCCATTTCAAGAGGTCTAAGAGATTTTATTCACTCTTAAAGAAGTCTGCATCCTTTGCTTCACATTTGAAGTCTTTTCCCTTCTCCAAAATAACCTTTAAATCAAGGATATATGAAAGGAGCTAATTGAGAGGTTTTCCAGTTTGAATAACTTTTCTACCACTCTTTAACAAAGACCTTGCAGTTTAAATATTCATAACTACAGAGTCTCCTTCTAGAGTGACATAACTTGAGATAGCATCTATGATATTTGGAATATTTGAGAACTAGGAAAATCCTGCAGCTCCACAGCACTCTCTCATTTGCTTAACACCCTCATATGCTGTATGGCAGAATAAAGCTTTCATTCCAGAAAGAATTGTGTGCATTGGGCCAAGCTGAGAAAAGTCATTCTTTGTTTTGATGTTAGACATCATGTCGTTGTATAGCTGATACATTCTTCTTGTAGCAAATGCCATTGCAAAATTATTCGCTAGTTGTGGGCATATTCTATGTAAATGTGTCTGATAGTCTATAATTTTTCTTTCCTCTGGCTTTCCATCTTTTCCAGCAGCAGTCTTGAATTGCTTTCTAACAATTCCATATCTAATACTTGCAATAAGGGATTTCCCTAGACCAGCAACACAGCCAGACAATAACTAAAGCCTTGTAAACATCATAACTGAGTAAAGAACTTTAGGATTTCCCTGTGGAGTAACTTTACCTTCCTTGTCAACATTTACATATCTCATAAGCATATTTCTTCTTGGAATTCTGACTTGATTGAAAATTACATATCCATTGTCTTTTGCAACAAATCCAAATTTAGGACCTATATCTCCTACTTCAATACCTGGAAGGGGCCTATGAGTATCAATGTCTCTTATTGGGACCATGAATGATTAAACTCCGAGATTCTTTCCTTCTATCATCAATTGAGCATATACTACTCCATGAGTAGATAAGACTCCGAGATCACCTGGCCAGAACTTAGCACTTGAATTCTTTGGGGTATTAATGATAAACTCATCTTTTTCCTTGTCAAAGATAGCCTCAGTCTCTAATCCCTACCAGAAAAGTTAAATTGAGAAAATGATATAATTATAAATAGCGATGACGTATTCACTCTGAATTGTAGTGCGATGTCCAATAGTTAGTGAATCACTTACTCTCACATTTGAGCCATGTCCAACCTCAGTTTGACAGTAGTTTCCAATAATTTTGTAATCAAGGATCAGTGGAAGCCATTTATCTACTTGCTCTTCATCTCCCAAATATCTAACTGCTAATTCAAACATTGCGTGATGTAGACTAGTTGGCATCTATTTGCAAAATCATAATGGTATATTCTTACTGCACCAAGATTAGTTGTAACATGATAAAATACAGTGTCATAGGTGATCTTTTCAGGCAAAACCTCCGCCATTCTATTAAGTTTTTTGAATCCACATTCCATTTTTTCCTCTCTCGTCATATCATAGTAGTGATGAGTATTTCTTAGAATTGGATCAGCAGTGTAAAGTTTGCTCAATTATCTATGTTTTTCAAGCTTTTCCTCACCATCCCATAAAAAGAGAGCTAGTTACTCCTAGTTAAAGTTAAGAGCTTTTCTTTCCTCAACAAGTGAATGATTAACTTTCTTATAAGTCTCTGACCACTCTTTGTTCCTTTTGCTTTGCATTCAATTATAATCTAAGATTTTGATAATGAGATTATTTTATTAGATTTTAAGTATCCACTAATTCCTATTCTTAGGGCAATATGGGGTTTTGGGGTTTTGGGGTTTTGGGG